TCTAAACCTAGCAACGCAGCACAAAGTATCCGAAAATATGCAGTTACTGCAAGATATGCTGAAATATGTATTTATTGCAAAATATGCTAAAATATGCTCTATGAAATATAGCTCAAACTTTATATTTTTTGGAAAAACGTTTAAGCATTTCATCAGCGTGTTGCTAACATGCCTGACAAAAAACATGCCCAAACATATTTTGGGTTGGCCTATACATCACTTTTCGATAGCTCTTATAGTTTCTGACAAATTAATTAATCCATCCAGATTTTTTTTTCATTTATGAAAATAGGAAAAAACACTTTAACTGAAGAAAAATTAAAGAAATAACAGGTGCTGTGTCAAATTTTTGCCTTAGTGCTAAAGCCTGTTCTGTTTTAATAAAAATCAAGTTACTAATGAAGAAAATCGATGGATAAATAAAAAAGTAATGAGTGGTCAAATGAAAATGCGCAAAGATTTTTTGTGTGAAATATGAGCATAAAAGCGTGCTACTTAGGTGTACATGTCGTTTGAGTAACATCCAAGGTACATTGAACAGGTAGTATCAGTAGAGCAGCTGATTTGATTTATTTTCAAATTATTTGGTCTCGAAAATGTCAAATATTTTTAATTTTTTCTCACAAAAATTCTGAATTGTTAAAATCCATTTGCATGTGAAACCTTTTTCCATACAAAACAAGCGATTGAATAGCAGCTTTTGGATCGTTCGCAACTCAGCAGCACAACCGCTGATTACTGGCCCTTGTAAAGGATGGATCAATGCTTCGAGAAGCAAACAAATTTACTAGGAAAGAAAGTTGCATCAATTTTTATTTTTTCCAATTTCAATTTTTGATTTTTTATAATTTTTTGTATTTCACATGGCACGCTTTGATTTATAAGAAAAAATTCAGAACAGTTTTTGACACTTTCGATACCAGAAGCAACAACCAAATACACGCAAATGTTGTTTTTGCTCTACTGATACTACCTGTTTAATGTGCCTTGGTAACATCACTTCTTGCTCATTTCTGTTAGTTTTTTAATTTTGCTCCTGTTAAAATTCGATTTTTTTTATTTTTTTCAACCAAAAAACCAAAAAGGTTGTAATGATTAATTAATTTGTCAGAAACTATCAGTCCTATCGGAAAGTAACGTATGGACGGTTACGGAAAATTTTGTTAGCTCTCATTTGTCGTGTTGTCGTTTTGGTTTAAGCTGAATAATGCTAAATTGAAAATATCTCGAAAACGTATACATAGAATAAAAAAAATAACTCGATTTTTGGAATCAGCGGGCGATTCTACGTACGAATTGAATAGTGGCGTCTGGAAAACAAAAACCAATTTGATATATCAAATGTGCTGGGATAAGAGCTAAAATAGTGGCATAAGCAACGGAGTCGCTCGTGTAATTCAAAACTAGTTTTACAAGCTTTAAAAAATAGGGAACAAACGTGTCTTGATACACTAGAGCGAACTTTAAAGCTAACTTCAGCCAGAAGAAGCGGAATTGAAATTGAGCCAGTCAGTAATTTAAATATAAAAATTGTACCAAGCATTTCCCTGAGACTGACAAGTCTAGGACTGATAAGTTTACGACAAGAATGCAGAGAACATGTGAGGGAATACCACGTTATGTGGTACCTCTGTTTACCCTCCGCCTTATGGAGGTACTGCCCCATGATGGAGCATGAGCTAGTTAAACCTGTGTAGAACGATTGACTCCGATAGGGTTTACTGCGAAGGCTTTGTAAACAAATGCTATCTCTATCTAGTGGCCATTGTTGTGCGGTAACACCCCTCCTGAGCTTAGGCTTCACGCAAACGAAAAGGTCCGATATTCCGTAAAATCTACGAAAATGCGATCACTGAATCCGAATTGCTACGAACGTATGTGTTCAAATTATACGCTACGTTCGTATGTAGCTATTCAAATTCAATGATAGCATTTTCGTAGATTTCACGAAAAATGGGACTACTATGGATTCTGTGATAAACCTGTATAGTTGGGCTGATAGATAAGCGCTGTTAGATCAAACACTGTACTTGCATGAAGGTGCGTACATCAAGAGTTTCTTAATTCATGTGCGCACTTGAATGCCTGCACTTTGCTTTTTTGGCGCTTCTTGACTTTTTGAATGGCGATCTTGAGGAATCCTTTTTCTTATTACCAATTCAATCAATATCTTCAAAAGTCAGATTTATGAAATCAAATTCAAAACTTTCATTAAGTACAGTGTGCCATTTTCTCATGAATACTAAATAAGCAAAACAAGACAACTGATTTCCTTTTTCCGGACAATCTCGATTTGCTTTACTCCTGAGCAGTTCTCCTGTTTGGGAAGATTTTTTTTTATTTACTTTTCAATTATCGGACCTGGTCTAGTGTACTGTTGCATAAAACTATTGGCGCGTAATTATAGTCAAGAAAAAGTACTCTCTAACGTTAGCGCATCTAATCTATAGTGTATCATAGTCGTGTTAGTAGCTGCTTTTTCGCTTAGAGTCGACAGTAAAGTTAGAGTGACGAAAAGCTGTTACTAAGGCTAGCACTAAATCTGACAAATGCTATGGTATTTGATTTTTCTTGTTTATTTTTCGCAGTTTTGTTGCCCAATTTTAGTATAATGAGGTGCAAGTTTCAAGTCTCTAAAAATTACCGTTAATTTTTGAGATTTTTTTTTCAAGGGTGTTTCGCATTTTCTTCCTATAAAGCACGAACAAAATCTATTTTTAAGAAATGGAATTGAAAAGTGGAAAATTTTGATGAAATTTTTTGGTATTTCTTGAATTTTCCCGAGTTCTATATGAAATTGAAAAAATCGATTCTGCTGGTTTTTGATATTGAACTATCGATGGAATAACGACTTACAACATGTCTCAGGACAAAATTTTACACTTGATCGCTTTCCCTTTGCATTATATGTAATGACCAGGGAACGGATTTTATGGAAATTGCCTTTTTTTCTGCTAAAGAGATAGAGTATATTCGATTAAGAATGTCCACGATTTAGCTTTCCCTGATTCCATATACATATACACATTTGAAGTTGCCTTTTTTTGCCTTTTTTAAGATATTTGCCTTTTTTTGCCTTTTTTAAGATATTTGCCTTTTTTTGCCTTTTCTACCTTTAAAAAAGTGATTATAGCATTGACAATTTTTTTTAATATTAAAAAATATACACATGCCCATGCAGCTTATAGAAGCACAGGGACCTCTTGCCAAATTGGTGTTGAAAAAATTCAAAGCCGTTTTCTCAGCTAACGTTTGAAGACAATAAGGGGTGTGGATAAAATTGTAAAGGGGGAGGAAAGCGCCCTTATTTCTGATAATATGAACGTTTCAAACGTTCCATATTTAAATTGGGCTCCACTTGTATCAACTTACGTCGAGCGCACATTTAGTACATTCAAGGCTTTTCTTCGCGAAAATCGAATGAAAATGCTGCCAGAAAACTTCAAAATGCATCTTGTGGTTCAATGTTACTACAACTATACAGATTAAAGTTTTATGAGTTAGAAACTCGAAAGGATAAAATAGTCAAAGATTCAAAGTACAAATTTTTCATATAATGAAACTAGTTCATAGTTTTTCTCTTTTTACTTGTAATATAAATATTTCTAAAATAAATGTATTTTTTGATTGTTCTTCGTATTTTCTGTCTTTTTTAATGCCTTATTTTTGCAATACCTTTTTTTTTGCCTTTTTCGCTATTTTGGTTTGCCTTTTTTGCAATACCTAGTGACTTTTCCTGCCTTTTTCGCTATTTTATTTTGCCTTTTCCATCCTATTTCGTTACTTTATTTTGCCTTTTTTATAGGTTTTTAGGTCCTAAAAATCCGTTCCCTGGTAATGACATTGCCAGGTTAAAGTAATGCATTCTGTAAACTTGAAGATAAGTGGTGAAGTGCTTAAGAATGAGCATACAATTGGAGGTAAGCGAATTAGTGTAAAATTTCTTACCCACTGCATTACATGTAATGCAATGGAAAAGCGAATAAGTGTAAAACTTCGTCTTGAGGCCTACTGTAATGCGTTATTCCATCAATACAAAAAATAAGCCCTTACCAAAAAACAAAAGTTTTTGCTGGGGGTTTAATTCACATCATTGTCTATTCCAAAAGTTAGAAGTTGTGTAAACAGTTGCTAGGTGAACGAGTTGTGGCTTTATTGTGAACATAAATGTGAGTTTAACGAAATTTTAGTTTTTACATATATGAATAATTAGAAATATAATAAAAATTTTTTAACTAGCATTAAAGAGACATTGATTCACATACATACATATATTCTTGCATATTAGGGTGGTTCAGAAAATAAATTTTTTTTTCCTCGGAACCTCATGAAGTCATTTTTCGATAAGTGAACTCGGTCAAAATTTAATCGAGGTCAAAGTCGAATTCACCATTCAGACCTTTTTTGTAGAGCGTTCAATTATCTAAAAAAATACTCTAAGACCTTTACAGTACAACGTATCTTTCGTTAAATATAAAAATCAGAGGTAAAAAAAACAATTTTTCCAGTGTTATTCTTATGGAAAATCGAAAAGTGCGATGCGGACATTCTTTATATTCTTAATATTAAGGGCTCATATTTTCTGAGATTTATTTTGGCGTCTAAACGAAACTTTGGTTCCGAGGAAAAACATTTTTTTTTTTTCTGAACCACCCTATTGCATATACATATAAACTCGGTAGGTAAAATATATATTTACATTGTATATTAACACCACCGATTTTCTATAGAATTTGTTTGAACAGCTTCGCTTTATATCTGCATAATTCTATTATTTTCTGTCCTCTGTATTTCTGGGTATCCTTAATACTTCAATGTTATTTCGTGTGTGTCGTCTGCCACCACCTGGTTCGATTTCAACGTGTCCTCGGTTCGCGATACCTTGATATGTTTCTATATTCGATCACTGTCTCCACTGCCTTATCCAATTGTTTGTTTCAAACCGTTCAACTAAATTACAATAAAACTCTCCGGTAACCAAAATAAACCAACCAAAGCAGCAAGACGTCAGGAGATAATTAAAATCACTGAACAACTAATTGAGGCTATCAATAGCGGCGATTTCGATGGATACACGTAAGTCTGAATAATTATTTTATATAACTTTTTGTACGTAACTTGGTGAATCAATTATAAGCACTCCATGTTATTGTCTGAAAGTATATGTGGTGGTCCAATCGCGGGATGTGCATTTTTGTAGTTAGGAATGCGATGAAGTCAACTGTCACTAGGTGACCAAGCTTTCCATGGCATTTGCTTGGAGAGAGGAGAGAGGGCGAACATTTTCCGCGAGAAAAGTTATTAATAACATAATAAGAAAATCAAATATAATGCACGGACTTTTTAAGTGACCAAGTACAGGTCGTAGGTAGGTTTGCCAACAGTTTCTAAGACATTTATAGTACCTTTTCAAAAAAATCTGAAAATGTAATGTACACTTCAAAAGAAAAAGTAAAAGCGCTTTTTAAATATACCCCTTCTTTCTTATGCATTCCTCTATAAAAAAATATATTCCTTTTAAAGTATCGTATGGTTTATCGCAATCCATATTTAAATTAAAATAAATCAAAAGTTAATTTTTTATTAATGAGGTAGTCGCTTATAATAGAAAAAAACTCTTTCTTTGAATGCGCATGTTGCAGGAATAGAGAGCAGAAATGAAATAATTTTAAGTAAATTTGGTACTTCATCCAAAGTATTTTTAAAAATGTTGCCCTTTTTTGTCTGTGGTGCTATTAATAAACCTACCGTGCCCTTTTATTTTAAAGAATATTTCTTTTAATATTGTTATTTCAGAAAAGAGGTCACCCATTTCAATTCACGTTTGTTCTTGCAAATTACTGAAATATATTTATATTAAATGCCAGTAAATGTTGAACCATAAAACATAGCGACATATGTCATACCATGCAACTGCCAGTTCATAGTATGTCGCTCATATATTTTTGACAATGACATATTAAAACACCATGATACAAAAATAGAGGGTAGTTTCATTTATTGACATTCGTTGTTGTTGCCGACCACTTGACTTTTAATAAGTTTATGACATTTCATTAAAACCATGCTACCAGATTCACTAGCAGAAAAATTTTTGTTTCTTGAAAAAGTAAAAAAAAAAAATTTTAAGTTAGTGAAGTTGGATGAAAACATTAAAAAGTCTTGTGCGTTTTCAAACTGAAGGAATTTGATACACCTGTGCAAACGTTCGAAAATAAAGTTTTTTGGATAGAGGATAGAGTACGTAATATGATTTAATGCAGTTTGATGACAAATTGCTGACACAAAATATTTTTAAACCTCTAACCGATGTACCGTTATCCGTGGAAGAGGATGGAGATCGAGTTAAAATGATGCCGTGCAACTTGTAACAGTACCAATTTTGGATTCTCGGAATTTTCAGTTAAGGTGTGGCGCTGCTCAAAAATATATATGCATAAATATAAGCAAGAAACCAGGTATTTGTGACAAGAATTATCCACATAAGATGAAAACTACTGCAGTTTCATTTTAGAAAGTTTTTGGTTTTAGAAAATTTCATAAGACAGTTTGGTTACGGTTCGGATATTTGTACCAGGGTTGTGCCGAATATTCGCATTCGCATTCGCAACTGCGGAGCTTCCGCATTAATTTAACCATTCGCATTCGCTTTCGCATTCGCAATAATCAATGCGGAGCTTTTGCGAATACGAATGTTGTGCAAGTGCACCGATAAAACGTATATATGGCAAACAAAATGACAAATTGTAGCCAATATTTTTGCCTGTGGTCGTGGGAGTATTTGTGTAACAAAACTGTTCATATTTATCAACTTAGACAAAAGTGTATTTAAACTTATTATTTCTTCAGCTCTATAACTGAGCAATCAATGGGCAGTCACGCAAGTTCCAACTTCTACTTGACCTTTGACGTACGTAAAAGGGAACCTAGCCTTTTTAACAATATTTTTTGTTTTCTCTTCTTTCAATGCCTGCATTGGTTTCTTTCTTTAATGTTATTTTTTTGGACCAATTGTAAAAAAACTACTAGACTTAAAAAAAAGAAGCTGTGCGCTGTAACTCTTAACCAAATTTTCGTGATTTGCTTTTGATGTTACATATATTCGTTTCAATAATTTCAAATGGGGCTTTGTGGGGAATTTATTTTTAGCAAAAAATTAAAGAACAGTAATTTTGTTTCCTTGTCGGGCAATATTTTTTCGGATTGATATATACTTGAATACCTTCTTTGCTATTTAAAGTCAAAGAGTAAGCTCCTTCAATAGGCATTTCCAGTAGAAATGATCAACGTCTGGCTATAAAGAGGAGCGATGCTCAAATAATTAAAAGACTATAGGCCTGACCTTTAATAAGATAAGAATTACGTAAGTATCTGAGATTCAAATGTTTTTAAAAAACGGGGTGCTTTTTTAAGAAATAACAGTGTTCTAATTGTTTCTTAAAAATACTTGACATCCGCATTCGCGGTTGTTAGCTTTTAGATATTCGCATACGCATTCGCATCCGCGGATGTCTAAAATTCCACATTCGCAACATCCCTAATTTGTACAATGATTTTGGGTTATCGTGTTCAAACCCGCGACCCGAATCAAAAAATTTTAACATATACGTAGAGCCAAAGGACTAATCTTTAAGTTAAAACAAAGGTTTCGGTTTAAAATATGCACTTTTTTTTTGTAAATTTGGAGGTCAATTTTGCCTAAATATACTGTGGATGGAAAAATGGAAAAGAGTACCCACTGCTGATGGCCTAATACGAGTTTAATTTTTCTTTGCGAAAATGCTAATTTTACCCCATTTTGAAATGGGCCCCGAGTGTCTGTAGAAGGGGCAGGGAGGCGAAGGGTGAATTTTCTTAAAGTTTATACTGTTCTCTTTCTAGTAAGTTTTTGGTGACACGCACCTTCCGTTTCCGCTCCTCACCAAAAAATCATTTTACAAATAACCGAACATTTCCAACGCACAACATTAAACCCTCTGATGTATTGTTTCATTGATATCAATGTGGCAAGGTAGCTCATAATTATGTACAATTTATGAAACTTCAAAAACTTATTTTTTGTCAAAAATTTTGAAATGAAACTACCTTCTTTTAGTATCATGTTAAAACACTATCGAATAAATTGAAATCAAGTCTATGAATGTCAACACAAGCGACAAATGCGACATAGTCAGCATTATGTTCGTGATTTTGGAGGCTCCTATTATAGAAAAATTCATTCAACAATTGTCTAATTAAAGATCTATATATTTTCATACAAGGCAGGATCAAACATTATTAAAGATATGCTACAGAAACACAACAGCGAACAACAGCTTAGCTAAGTAGCAATGACATGCTAAAACAGTAGGTTTGTTCCACACGCTTTTCGGGCTGTTTCGGTAATTAGAGCGTAAAAATAAGTTACTCTGTCACAAGTGTCAAAAATGTGTCAACCTGTTCCAAAAGTGGCATTATTTACGTGTATTTATCTTATATGGCTAATGAAATTACCAAATAGCTACATTTTCTGAAAATTCTGTGGTATTTTCCACTTTTGTGTTTTGTAAATTTTGCTATTACCCATTTTTCTAGCGTGAGGAACGCTTTCTGGGCTGTTTTGGGCACCCGCGGAATCCCGCGGGCTCGTGTGGAACAAACCTAGTATGTTTGTGATGGAACCACATGGCATAACACCTTGTGTGAGTTCACATGACATAGCAATGCATGAAATTTTTGAAAATGACATTTTTACAAAAAATGTTGAATTTTGCAGTATATTAATTTATATTTATACCTGAAGAAATATAGCATTTTTGATTACTATTTTTTTCCAACAGTATATAGTACGCAGAACGAAAAGTAGTAGAATACTATATATTATAGTACTGTTGGCAACCCTAGTCGTAGGCCAACTCGAGTAATTTTCACAATTGCTTTACAATTTTTCTAACACCTGAAGTTCTCACTTAAATCTCTGCATGGTATTTTATATGGAATTTTGTTAACAATTTTATCGGAATTCTTTTTTATTAGTTATGTCTAGAAAATAAAATTTCATTCCAAGTACCATTTATGAGAAACTGGTGAAATTCTGATACTTATTAGAAGGAGGAAAAGTCAAATTTGTGCATATTTCCACATAGAAAAGGACAAAAAGGGTACAGTTAGGAGCTTGTTTCCTCTACATTTCTTAGCTGAATCGCACTTGTGCACAAGGGTATTATAACTTTGTTCGCTTAACGGTTGTTTGTAACAGCCTAAAGGAATCGAGATAGATATAGACAAATGTATACATAAATGATCAGAATGAAAAGAGAAGTCGATTAAGCCATGCCTAGCCGTCCGTTCGTCCGTCTGTCTATGTGCACGATAACTCGAGCAAAGATTGAGATATCTCAACGAATTTTGGTATACAGATTGCCCTTTATCCAAGGTAGGTTGCTATTGAAAATATGAAGTCGGACTGTGGCCACGTCCCCTTATCATATAACGGTATTTTCGAAAAATGCAGAAACTACGATATTTCAGTAAATATTGGATCCAAATTGTTGAAAATTAGTGTGTGAAGTAGAATTTTAGTACAAAACAATATTATTATTAAATTTTTGGAAAATGGGCGTAACCCCGCCCACTTGTGATGAAATATTGTACATCAGTAGCCGCTTCACCAATTCTTATCAAACTCGGCGCGACCCTTGCTTAAGGTCCAACTAAGAAATCTGTTGAAAACCTTTGAAGTCGAGAAATAACCACGCCCACCTCCCATGTAACAATAATTTACCGAAACACGAAAATTGCGATAAATCAGTAACTACTGAAGCTAACTGACTCAAAATCAGTTGTAGCAGAAAATTAGATTATTATAAATTTTTGTATCTTGGCCGTGGCGCCGCCCACTTATGACCACAAATGTGTATCACAATAACCGATTTATCAATTTCTACCAAACTCGGTGCATTTAATAACCTTGGTACGGGAAAGCAATTCGATGAAAATTATTCAAATCGGACTAAAATTACACCCGCTTCCCGTAAAACAGTAAATTACAAAAATTCCGATATTTCAATAACTGACGACGCTCATTTACTCCAAGTTAATCTTGCAACAATCTCTTCACAATATACATATAAGACTGTTATAGACTTTTAGGTAGTTTAGAAAAAGTTGAAACGACGATTTCGCCCGAACTTATACTTCTTTACTTGTTTTGTATGATTTATGGGCACCATGAGTAGGGCTGCCAGACGTCCCGGTTTTCCCGGACATGTCCCGGTTTTAGACTATTTGTCCCGGTGTCCCGGTCCAACCTTAAAATGTCCCGGGTTTCGTTTTAGTGTCCCGGTTTTTGATTTGATTGCACAAATTTGAATAAAAGTTCAAAAATCACTACACTAAGAGAAAAAACGCGATGTAATATTCCGAAAAATGTTATGAGTTCACTGAGGGAAATAACGCATAGTAAACATGAATATTTTATATTTGATTATCGCTTAAAAATGTTCGTATTTAAAAATAATACTTTCATAACACGCACGCGTGGTGTTGATTCAAACTCAACATTTAAATGCACATTTACATGTCTGGCTGTAGCTGAGTGCGCGAAGATGCTTGCCACAATTTGCTAATTTCCAGAGGGTCAGGGTTCAATTTCCATTACAACCAGCATGGAATTTAAATATTTATTTCACTTAATTATGAGAAAGCAATCGGTAATTGCAAATCGCTTCATTTTAATGTGGGCGTATTTGAATTGAATATTTTTATACTAAATTCTAAAATTTGTATACTTAAATGTATTACGAGTTGGGTTGGTGCTCTTTCATATGCGTATTTTTTTAATTTAGCACGCTTTTTTAATTCTAAACTTCTTTCTCTCAGTGCACCGGTTTAATTTGTGAAATAGTCACATTTCGAGATAGTTGAAACAAGTTCACAGCAACGAAAAATATGACTGATATTTTAATGTTATCTTGTACTTAAATTTTTTTCTTTCATGAAACCTAGAGTACTTATAACTACAGTGCCGTACAAAATTATTGGCTCGGAGGCTCTTTCATCAGATCACAATTTCTAATCAGATCTTTTAGAAAAATTTTGAAAATGTAGGTTTTGAGCCAATTAATAAAGTGCAAGTCTGAAGTTGCCAGCAAATTTCGTTGATTTTTAGCATTTATTTTTTTTTGCTGACAGTGTCTTCCATATAAAAAGAATTATCGAACATAGTTTGTATGAAAGAAACTCTCAGTAAAAACAATACCAAAAATCAACTAAAATTTAGTGGGCTGCAAAACTTCAGTTTAAAAATTTGTATAAAAAGTCTGATTAAAATGTTGCAAATTTGTATGCAAATTTATTGAATTTTCCCGAGTTTAGCACAAAGTTTAACAATTTTATTTTTATGTTTTTTCATATATTTAGTATACTTTATATAAAGAATAAAAAGAGGTTCATGCATTGTGAAAAATTCTCTGTGCTTTAGTTGTGATAAGTTGTTTTGTTTTGTTGGCGTACGTTGTAATGATCTCATGATCTCATGTTTTTATGTTTTTGTTTTTGTCTGTCAAAATAAAATTTCACTACATCCTTTCGCACGTCGAAATGAAATGGAAGGGAGCGAGAGGCTCTCCCTAAAGTATCCCGATTTAGCAACAGAGAAATCTGGCAGCCCTAACCATGAGCAATGTAGGGCCTATTTTTCCCGCATGATGGCGTAGAAAGAAATTCATTTTATAACAAACTTGTATCCATTCACCGAACAAAAATTAATTACTTAATACGGTTAAGAAATATAGGAGAAAAAGATATCCAACTGTATGAGATTCCCTTGAATAAAGAAAAAAACAATGACTAAAATTAAAATAATTTTCTAGGAATTTGGTGGAAAAAATCTGTTAAAAACAATTTTGAAATTTTTTTTAAGATGCCAAAAATTGCTAACGAATATCTTATTTAATCTCCGAAGCCATGTAAAAATGTTTCTTTAGTATAATGTGAGAATTTAAGGATGTGAGAAAAATGACTAACATAATTTCATGAATTGCTAGATCAGGGCTACGATCTAATGTCACTCAAAAAGTTTATTTTAACTGTTGCACAGTGTAGCCATTTCCCTATTTTATAATAACTATCATGAATTTGAAAATAACTCATTGAAAATTTTTAGAATCATGCCCGATTCATGTGCTGGATATAGATATAATAAATAAATATATATACTGGATCTACGCAGTGAAGTTTTACCCCAACAAGTGTTATTATTTCATAAGGGTCGGCACCTCCTACCGTCTTATAAAGAGAGCAAGCTCAGTCCTAGCAGGTTTTTAACCAGCGAGAGGGATTTGCATTAGATCGTATAAAGGCTGAGGGAACTTACATGCACGGCTACTACGCTGGACTTCCCGATACGCAATCACCTTGTGATCCTCCGCAGTCATGCCTTACTACAGCTGTGGGGTAACCTTGCTGACCATGCAGCTGGCGACCGAGCAGTTGGTGCAGGACTTTTCTATACGGAGAGTCGTCATGACTGAGGTAATTGCCCTAGGAAATATGTGGTTAAAAGTCAATGCCCTACCTATCTAATGATCTTCCAGTTATTGAGCCTATGGTGTAAATATAGCTGTATCTATCGAACTGCCTTTCCAATAGACGTGCTAAGCTTTGTGTAAAAAGTTTGGTTTTATAGATAGTCTGGGGTAGGTTCCCAAAATACTCCCTAAGGTTCTTAATGAAAGTCATGGAAGGCCTATTGGCCTCAAGTCAGCGGGCTGGGAATGGTAGGCTCTACTTGCCTCTAGTGTAAATACCACTTTAAGCTCCTTCCATAGGATTGAGATGTAGCAGGATATTCTACAGCTCATAAATTTGGTTTCAAACAAGGAGTTTTGTAGTTGCGCCGGATAAATACCTAGTAGTCCGGGCGATTTATAGGGCTTGAAAGCTGAATAGCTTAACCGATTGAACAATCATGATTTCGTTAATGACATTGGAGTAGCTGCAGTCGATACTATTAAAAATGCTGCAGCACGTTTTCACATTAGAAAATGTGTATTTATATCCCACGGGTGAAGCTTTTTAATGTTTTCTATTGTTTATGGGCGGCCGCTGTGATTTAGTGGTTAGAAGTGCGCGCTACCATTCCGCTGGGCTGGGTTCAAACCTAGTTTCGGACATCAAAAAAAAAAATAAAAAAATTTACATAAAACGTTTTCTAATAGCGGTCGCCCCTCAGCAGGCAATGACAAACCTCCGAATGTATTTCTGCCACGAAAAAGTTTCTCATAAAAATACAATCGCCGTTCGGTGTCGGCGTACAACTATTGGTCCCTCCCCTTTGTGTGACAATATCAAGGCGGACGCCACACATCGAAGGAGAAGCTCGGCCAAACACTAGCGTATTGTGTAAGCACCAAATTATTATAAATATATGTTATTACTATTGTATATGCGCTCTCTCTCTGATTTAAAAATAAATTAATGGTTCTCGCACTTTATATATCCTCTAGCATTTTATGGATTTGTTTTAATGAAAAATTATAATAAAGTTTATAATTAGAGTTTACTCTTTGATGCGAAAATGCAGGAGGCAAAAATGGGCGCTTTGTTTTGCACAAAAGCGTGAACAGTGTTATTGCTTTGGCTGCGATATTTCGAAGAGTTCAGCCACAGCGCGGTCTCAAATATTCGTTGCGCTTCGTTTGTGCTGTCGCATTAACTGACGAAGTGAGCAGCACAACACAGCACAGCACAGCACAGTTTTCTCGCTCTTTACATTTTAGTCAGGGTTTCAGCTGTGCGTTTGTGCGAAACTAAAAGTGCGAATTGTTGCCAAATGTTTGTTGTAAAAAACTGTCGAATATTTCACATTTTCGAACTTTCGCTCAAACGCAGTTTTGCCTCAAAGTGTGAACTCTAGTATAGAAATTATATATATATATATATATATACTTGCATTGCATTTTACCTTTTTTTCCAGAAAAATATGCGACCCTCATTTAACTGCATTTGAGCCTGAAGCATTAGGCAACCTTGTTGAAGGAATTGATTTTCATAAATTTTACTTCGAAAATGGTAATTATAAAAACAAACATTTATTACATAGTTTTCCCATGTATTTTTTATTATGGGTGTGAATATATGCGCATTAAAAGTAGAGATTTAAAACATACAATTAGATCAATTTGTTTCAATCCATTTTGAGAAATTACTATTAGAGGGTTCCAGCTATGTAAAAATATTTTTACTCGGCATCCTGTAAAAACAGCTAAATCGATTTTTTTTTAGTAATCGATTTTTACAAATTCTGGGATGTCCACAATAAAGCGCGATTTATTTAAGTCTAGGACCCGGCGAACTTCGACCCGCCTAAAACCATTGCTTGAATAGGTCCTACATTTCGGTATGGCTGCTTTGCTGAAATGTTTTAGTTGTAATTTTTAGAGTTTCACAAAAACGATTATTGCATGAAGAGCAATGAAGAGATTTCAAAGAAAAATGTGGTGTTTCACAAATTCACAGATTCACAATATATTGTGAATACTAGCAGACCCGGCAGATGTTGTTCTGCCGAAGCGTTGGCTTGTCTGCTATTAGTACGGTGACCATCCGTTCTGTTTTTTTTTTCAGGACCGTACTGTTATTTAAAGGTCTGTCCTGCGTAGTTTTTCAAAACAGAAAACCCCCAAAATGTACTGATTTTTTCCAAGTGTCCTGCCTTTGTCCCGCATTTTCTTGGATATTTTAAAATTAACTTTTCCTAATCGAAATAAAAGCAGTGTCGATAACTAATTGATAACTACATAAGGGTAAGCTGGTTTTGAAGGTTCAACTAGTCAATGCGTTCTAAATATTTTACGTTTATGGACAATGGATGACGAGAAATTGAAGACCAGCATCAAATATATCGATAACACTGTTCTACAAATTTTGTGGTAATCGCTTAAGAAAAAAAATATTTTCCAAGCCAATTTTCCTTTCAAACAAGCGTTTTCGTAATTTTTTCGAAAAACGTGTTTTTGGTACATTTCGGACCTATTCGTCAATATCTCATGAAAAAATTATCTAATCAACATAAGCGACCTACAGTCCTCTTACAAAAATATATTACTTTGCCGATTTCGATGAAAATTATTACTCTTACAAGCGACCAAAATCGAAAAATTTTAATTTCAATTATTTTCTTTTTACAGTAAATGAAAATCTGATGAGAAATGTAGATGTTACGGAACACAATCTGCACAAAAAATATATATATTTGCAAAGAGCCCATCAATACCTTTCGAACTGTTGGTCGTTTCATGAGATATTGAGTATTAACTGAAAAAGTACGAAAAATACGTTTTTCGAACGAATCTCGAAAACACTTCTTTGAAACCATGGGTATTTTTTTCGTGTTTAACGACCCAAAGTTTGCCTAAAAAATTTGCTTTACAGAGGTTCATACTTCGTGTAAAGTAATATGTAATATGCCTTATTATAATTTTGTAAACATTCATTACTAAAAGATTAATACCAATGAAGCAAATGTGATTTATGTTTAAAGTTTAAAATTGGATTAATAATTAAGAGATATACACTCTTCGTTATTTGAACAGCGCATCCTTTTAGTACTTAGTAGGTACAGTTTTCCTTTTGTTTGTTTAATATTCATTAACTTTTTATAAAAATATAGCATATTCTACGTCTACATCCCATTTACAAAATTTTTGAAAATTAAAATAAAATAAGCAGGGGCGACAATTTTTTTTTGTTGACGCACAGTGGTTCGGATCGCAAATCTAGCTGGACAAAACTATTTAATCAAATACTCGTTGATGGATCTTTACACCACTTCTTACCTAGGGGATTTTTTGGTCGCTGATTACGAATCTGAAGTCACTTATCAAAAATTCAAAATGGCGGATCCAATATGGCGGCCAAAAATAAAAAAAAATCGGTAGGTTTTATGTAACTGGGTGTCTGAGGGGTTTCTGGGTTGCTGATTACGAATCTAAAGTCATTTACTTAATTTACTTTATTTACTTCGGAACGAGCATTTTCATCAGATATTTCTTTCAATTTACCAATCACATAATCACGGACACCTTGTTGTCTTTTAGAAGTTTCAGCAACACTTCTCCAAATGTCAAATAACTCACTTCTTAAGATGTGATAGTAAATAAACATGACTAAAATTTAAGATCACAGCAAGAAACACAAATAAATTTCAGAAAAAAATTTATAACAGCGCTTAAAGATTTGCATGCCTGTTTCATAATTTTTTAATTTCAGAAGGCAGAAATTCGCGAGTTACTATTTTTTTTTTAACTCTTACATAACCAAAGTTTTGATAACTCTAAGTATTTTTCTGTTTTAACACACAACCCCAACCCCCTCTCCCCCGTGGATCCGCCACTGATCTTATTCAGATACATTCATGTGGTTCAAGTGGTTTTATAACGGCCTTCGGCGGCCTTTACTTTTCCTACTCTTTAATTTATTTTTTTTTTTAATATGACCTCTGAATCTATAGCGGAATAAGTGTATTTTTTTTTGTTTATAAAGTCAATTTGCAATTATGCAAATATCTGTGAGTGCAATTAGCAATCTTTTAAGTTAAATTTCAGCTTTTAAAATAGAGTTCTCAAATAGGCGGCGTTGACTTACCTTTTTTTGTTTGTTTTCATATGTTAATGCTTTAATAAATGCTATTTCTATTTGAATGTATTGTCAGGAATATATTCCAAGAACCATTATGTATTTTAAAAACAAAAAAAATTTGACTTTCGTCCAGCTAGATCTGCTATCCGAACCACTGTGCGGTGCTGCGCATTTTCTTCCATATAAAAATTTTGTCAGCATACTTTGTATGTATGTATGTATATATGTAGCATGATTCAATAATTAAAGGTTTGCTCATTATTGACATTAGAGTTTTGACACTCCCTTAGCTCCCTTACAAAAGCTTTGCACACACACACGAACCCACATATAGTGCCTTGCTAAGGAGGCCGATTTTGTCAAGAGGGAGCGAGAAAACTGCTTTTTAAGCAAACCTTTTATTATTGAATCATGTATATGTAGTATATTTTTGTTATTTTTATACTACGCAATTATATGTAGGTAAATTTTTTGAAAAATTGTCCTGCATTTTCAAAATATATTTATGGTCACCTTAGCTATTAGCTGGTTCACTAAGAGTTTTTTTTATACATATTTGAAATTGTTATAAACAGCAAGTAGACGACGTTTTTTATACATTTGAATTTTTTATAAGTTACATTATGTTACATGTGTGACTAACCCCCCTATTCGAATAGCCACAAAACTTAGCTCATGACTAATGTGACCAACTATTTCATAGCTCAAAGAAGTACAGGACCTGAGAGCCAAAAATAGAGTGAAAGTAAAAAAAAAATGGTAAAAGCAGAATACACAACAACGTTGACAGTGTACCAAATCAAAAAATCGATTTTTTTAATTAACAAGTAAAGTAACAAAGTAACGTATAAGTTGGGGCGAAGCCGAACTTTATATACCCGGCGCACGTATTAAATATAGTTCCTTTCACCTTTCTTTAAACTGTGTGCATGGAAAGCTGGGGTTTTCCCCCGATTTCAAACATTTTCGATAATATGCTTGATATATTTAAATAAATAAACTGGGCTTGGTAGAAATCGATAAAGTGCTTACCGAGCATAAGTAGGCGGAGTAGTGCCCATTTTCCGAAAACCTTTTTATATTATAAAATTGTTATATTATAGATATTAAAGAAAAATTAATATGGTGGCCTTTATAAGAGCAACAGAAGAAAAATAAAGAATTTTTAGAAATGTTGACTGTCTGTCTGTCTGTATAGACATAGAAATAGAAAGCAGTTTTCCCCGATGTATTGCTTGAGGTCTAACCTAAAATATAGAAGAAAAAAATAGAGAGTTGCCACCTGTTTGAAAATTACAGTTTTGCGTAATTGATAAGATAAATTAAATATTGCAATATGGCTGTCAAAGTAAAGAGGTTTCAAAAGGCTCGGAGCAGAAATTATTTTTGAGGAACGTTGCCACCTGTTTGAAAATTTGTATTCATTTTAATTAATAAGATAAATTAAATATTTCAATATGGGTACCAAAATAATGAGGTTTACTGCCGGGAATATTTGAGGGCGGTTGTCTCATGTTAGAAAAATTTGATTAATTTAAATTGATAAAATAACTTAAATATTACAATTCTGGTGGTAAACTAAAGCGGTTTAAGTAACTTTACTGTCGAAAATACTTCTGAAGCGGGTAGCCACCTATTTGAAAAACTTAATTCAGTTAAATTGACAAGATAAGGTAAATATTGAATAAGTACACCTTTGAAGAAAGTACGCCCGTATGTAGACTCGAGTTATAAGAATATAAACTTAATTTCCATGAGAAAGCCGAGTAGTATAAAAAATAAATTATGTTTCATAAATCGAAAATTTGTTTCAAAATCTCCCTTCATATTTTTCAAGAACGAGGCCATAAGAGTCTTGGGAGGGAGGAACAACCCAAAAATACTTTTTTCATGCAATTATTGATATGAAATATTAATTTATCTGTCGTAGTCAGTGTTGCCAGAACTTTTTGGGCCGACCGGCTAGATTGGCAAAAAAAAGCGGCTAAAAACGGCTAAAATGTTTTAGTGAAAATTCACATGCTTTATTTAAATAAATCGCAAGAAACGAAAGACTAGTTAACACCATTAATTTATTTCGAGTGTATATTCCTCATCATCAAATGAATCACTATTGTATATATCACCTGAATTCATTAATTTTAAGAGATCGTCATCTACAGTAAAATTATGGCAGCATTTTTCTTCACGTTTTAAACCGTATCTTATATATAAAATAGCGTTTAACGTTTTAACGCACATTGGATTTCTTTGCTTAGTTTTTATTATATTCATTGAACTAAATATTCGCTCTACTTCTGCATTACTTATAGGCAAAACAAGAAAACTAAAAACTAGGTTGCAAAGGTCAGCAAAAGGGTTTTCTCCTAGGGCATTTCGAAATTGATAAACTTCGGCCCAAAATTTTACAGTTGAGTCTAAATTACTTCAGGTATGTAACGTTAACCGTTGCCATTGCATCTCTATGGATGTTATTTCGTCGGCATTATATTTGTATTTTTGTTGCTGT